AAACAGAAACTTTTAACTATTCCAGGCGTTTTCTTCAGTCGACTGAACACATTCATCAGTCGACTGATAACGTGGCATTAGCATAAAAACCAACTTTGAAGAGCCTTAAAAAATAGTAAATAAATTCCAAAAAATATAAAACTTTGAAAAAAGTTTATAAACATGAATATGAACATGTTGGAAAAGGAATTTTTAATTTTCTCTTACCATTTGTGAAATCTCAGAAATATTCAAAAACACTAAAATACATGTTTAATAAAACATGTGATTTTTAATTTTTTGACTCAAAACAAGTTTTGAAAACTTATGGAATATTTATATGGACATAACAAAAGATGTTTATGATGTATATATAGTCCAAAACATATTAACATAGAATTTGCATAAAAGTACCTATGTTTTGAGAAAATCACAAATATATATGTGTGCGTGTATGTTTGAGCTTATAGAATTAACACATATTATATAAGGCTTAAACTAATTTACCCAACCTTGATAAATCTTCATTGTAGCTTGTCTTGGTAAACATGCGGATGAAGCTTGAACTTGGATCTTGACTTGAATGCATAGCTTCACTCCACTATTTCCGCCAACCTCCATTTTGATGCGATCGTGAATGCTTGATTCCATCCATCCTCCAACATATTGTTTGTCTATAATACCTAATAAGAAAACATAAACACTAGTTAAACAATATTAGGAATTGTTTGTAATCATCAAAACAAGATTTGAGGATGCAGGCTCATAACATGAGACCTAATAAGGGCGTCAGAAAGAATAACCTATACTATTTGATTAGGAATACGGTGACAGACGGAGAGCTGGCGATTTCTATTGATTCGACTAGACTACGGCATTTGAGGCTTGATCATTCCAGTATTGATTTGGAAAAGAGTGCATCAACCTGTAATTTGAAGTCCAATGAATATTTTGATGTGAGCAAGAAGACCGAGGTGAAGTTTGGCACCTCTATTTATCGCATGAAGAGTCTTTTCGATGGAGTTCACGTGAGTATTTGGGGGCCTTCCAAGGAGGCATCATTGGGAGGTAATAGATATTTGGTTTCCTTTATTGGTAGTTGTTCTAGGCATGCTTGAGTTGCAACCAAATCCCGATTGGATAAAGTGTGAGATTGGCAGAAAGGTGAAGGTACTTCATTCTGATTTTGGTAGGAGGTACAAGAGGGACCTGTTTTTGCATGAACCGAGCTCACGGTATTTTAAGATACTTTGGTGGAAAGGAAATATTGGGACAACGAGATGAGATGACAGATTTGGTGAGCTATTCCTTGCTGGAGGAGGACCGGCATTTGATGTCGAGCATTAATTCTGGTATTGAGGCTTCGACATATTTGGGTCATCTTGGTCATAGGTTGTCGACTGCTGCTATTGGAGGTAAAACTCCATTGGATGTTTGGACTGGTAGTGTCACTTCGGTTAAGGCTTCGATGATGGAGCTAATTAACTCTCAGCGGGTGGAGAGTGATGCTACTCTACATTGGGTGGAGATTACTCCACATACTCCAGATCATACTACATCGTTTGGGATTCCAGCTAAGGTGGCACAGTTAGGGGATCATTTGGATTTGGGTGCAGATGATGAGTTGGTTGATTCAAATACAGCTATGGATATGATTTGGATACAGCCATTGTTTTACCTCAGATGGAGGTGTTTGATTTGTTTTGCTTTGGGGCCATTTAGAGAGCTATCAGCCGTATATTTGTTGGTGAAGAGTTGAGAGCTTTTCTATTTGTTTAAGGGCCATTGGAGGTCATTTGGGGAACTATGTGAAGGCTTGATTCATTTGGTAAAAGGATATGTAGGCAGTCATTTATGATATAGCTAATTTGATGAATAGATACCGATGTTTGGAAAGTATTCGTATTCTCATTTGGGTCTCGACTTGTTGTGGATTGAGTCCGTTGTTATAATTTCGTTTCACTTCGTACTGAACGCAACAAGTGGAACATTTGGTTTGCTTGGTATCAGCTCAGTTTTGGGAAGACTTCGCCGAGGTGGAGAATTGTAGAATTGGTGGCACAGCGACGAAGTTCGGATTTTTTGAAGCAAGGAATATTTTGGAGGCTGCACGGTCAACCGCGAGTGGTACTACGGTCGATCACGAACGTGCACAGCATAGGGAAAGTCTCTGGACTTTTCACGGTCGACCGCAAGTGGCGCGACGGTTGACCGGCACAACCCTGTTGTGTTTTTTGGTTTTGGTCGTTGGATCCGATCGACCGCGATGGGTTCAGTGGTCGAGCGCGAGTCGGGTTTGAACCTACTTTAGTTTCCTACACTATTTGGGTTTCCTGTTTAATTTAAATAGGAACACAGTTTGTTTAGGGTTTATTGGATCATATTGCTCACTTTTGGGGTAACTTGAAGGTGAGTTTTGAGCATAGAAAAGAGAGTTTTTTTCTGAGTAAATTGTTTGAGGGTTTTGTGAGAGATTTGAGGGTTTTGTTTGAGAGGTTAGTTTGAGTGATCTTGTAATCTTTATTTTTGTACTCTCTTTCTCTATAGTGAAAACCCTCTCATTCTTGCCCCGTGGACGTAGGCAATTTGTCGAATCACGTTAATCTTTGTGTTTGAGTTTGTGTCATTATTGTTTATTTGAGTTGCCTTTTCTCTCGGTATTTGGTTTGGTTCCTCGGCGCACAACAAGTGGCATCAGCATACAACAAGTGGCTTCCACACACAACATATAATATAGTATATTTGACTTACCTGCATTAGTATACAATTAGATTAGAAAATAATGAGAAATATTTTTGGTAATGACTATGATATGCTAGCTATTTACTGTATATAAAACACCTTGATGAATGGGTACGTAAGGACAGTTATTGTTGAATCATCTGTGATAAACCACTGGAAAAAAAATATCAACTTCATAAATAAGTCTATACTAACCGTCTAACCTTGCTGAACTATTGTGTATTATTTTGCAACTGTGTATTTGCTTCATTAACTCGGGTATTTGATCATGGATTCGGATCCTCTCCACTACAAAAAAAATAGTGGAGGGACCACTACATAATCACAGCCATTGATTATCTAGTTGATGGTTATGATTTTTTCTTTTTAGTGCAAATTAGGAATGAGTGCAATACACGGGGGTATGGTAAGTGTTAGATTTAGATTGTATCATAACCGCCTACTAAATAATCAACACTTGAGATTAAAAGTAGTGGTCTCTCCACTACTGTTTTGTAGTGGAGAGGATCCAAATCCTTTGATCATCTAATGCTATTGAGCCAGGCGACGACGTTCTCTATTGTTCGATGCTTCTTCAGGAGACTTGCGCTGTCTTCTTTGGCGTTGGCCGATGCAGTTTCGATCTCTTATTTCGTCCATGTCTCTTTCGCAGCCAATGGTTATTTAATATGTAAAAAAAAAAAAAATTTCTTCAGAGAATTTACAACCAAAAAATATTCGAAGGGAAAATATTCAAAGAAAACTTACTAAGAAAAAAAAAAGTTTTCTTCAGAGAACTTACTAAGAAAAACATTCATTAGCCTTTGAATTATATATAATTAAGTCGAAACTGGTGCCAATAAAAAATAGGTGTACTTTTTTTTATTTAGGGGTGTTTGGTTGCACAATTTTATAGAAAAGTTTTCTCAAAATGTCTGACAATGACAATTCTGTAATTAAAAATTTTCTATAGATTTCCGTAAATTGTGTTTGGTTCAAAAAAATTTATAGAAATGTTTTATGTAGAGTACAAAAAAGTACTAAAATTTACAGAAATCAATTTCCTCTCAAAATGAGCGGAATTCACCCAGAAATTTGACACCACATTGACACTTTTCTATAAAGTTGACAATTTTCTATAAATTTAGGGGGTGTTTGGTTTAATTTCTACAAATTATAGGAAATCTTGTTATTTTCTACAAAGTTATGAGTGATTTTCTTGTTTTGAACCAAACAAGCAAAGTAAAAAACAAAAAAATGGTACTTTTTGACTTCTCAAAACTTTTCCTATAATTTTTTAAGAAATACAAGTAAATTATATTTTGGATGAAAAACATTTTCTATAATTTGTAGAAATTGAATCAAACACCCCCCCTTATATACTATACTGAGAAAAATATTCGGAGAGAACTCTAAAATGTGAATTAAGAGCACATTTTAATTACCTAGTGCGCAAATTAGCTGAGACACCGTGCGAAGCAAAATAGGAGAACGGATCTATGGAGTAATAGCTAGGTTGAGGATTTTTTTCTTTCTGGGAAAATTAATTTGAATATAACTTGTAGGTAATTGTAGAAGATGAGAGAAGCTTTGATCTCTGTTTCTTGGTAGAAGATGGTTAAATAAGGAAGGTTGAACACTAAGGATTCTATCAGAACTATTCCTATGGAAATGAGGTGGTTTTAATCATAGATAGGATAACTAAAATTTCCAAACTAACCCCTTAATCACCAGTGTATGATATAGATCATCTTATCATTTGTAGGAGGCGTTCTGATAGGGTCTGCACTCAGTTGAGAACAATATTAAAACAGAAAAAAGCAGGAGTTGAGGATATTGTTGGATTTTAGAGGGGTTGAGGAGATCGTGGGGGTTTTTTTTTTCGTGTTTAAGAAAATTTAGGTGGTTGAGATATTTGAGATTTTAGTAGAGTTGGAGGAGTAGAAATAGGTAATCAGAACGCGTGAAAGATAGTATTCTTGTTAGTATTTTACCTGATTACCCTTCTTCGATATTTGAAGATGAAGCTCACAAGCCCAAAGTCGAGGCATTTCTCAAATTATAGTGAAAATAGAAAACTTTTAAAGCCCAAATAAGAGCCCGACCCAATGCAGAAACCTCACCCCTCCGCGTCAAAAGCCAAACATCGCCCAGGCGCTCACCGTAAGATTTGGCGCGAAAACAACATTTCTTCCCGCCTCTCAATGAAACCCTAAAAAAAAGGGGATTTTGGGGATCCCGTCGATCTCACCGAATATATCTCCTCCTCTCTCGTCGATCTGAAGGCCG